CAGTACAAGGGGTCGGGCTATCTCAAGTTGGGAGCCGTGTTTACGCATCGATCATCGCCCACAACAGGGAACTGGTCCAGGATTACGGTATACATTAAACGATATTTACGCATGCATATATCTATCTATCTATCTATCTATCTATCTGTATATCTATATGTATATATATATATATGACGCACATTGTTGGACAACGCTTTGTTGGTTTATTGTTTGCAGCATTCGCAGGGTTTGCGCCCAACTGCAAGTATTACTGTCCTCACAACAGTTGACTGCCTGTGAGATCTGGATCGGGCATTTTTGACCAATTTTTTCTCTTGTGGAAAACGGTTTCGGTCAGGCTGTCTGCTCAGGAGTGTGCGCAAGTTCCTTTGCTTTGTCTCCACCGGTCTCAACAACTACATGGTGAACCATGGGTAAGACAGTTTGGAATCCTTGTAGAATTCTTGCGTACGCAGCCAAACGGGCAATTTCATGCGTGAAGCCGGAAGCAGCGTCTACGGGGGATTAGCGTTTTCGGTGTCTGAGTCCTTCCCTGGTAGGTGGTCTTTCCAAACCTAGCGTCTGCTGTAGATGACCGAGTGAGGTGACTTACTCCTACCTCTTCGTAGCACGGCTGGTAATTTGCGTTCACGTTGACTGTTGTTGACCGGTGGAGGTGGCCCAATCGCCTCATGGCAACTTCGTGCTGCAGCAAGCCATTCGCTGTTTGCTGTCAGAGCGCTTGGACTTCGTCAAGCGCTCAGCTATTTGAGACCTTGCATGACTGGAGTTTCGGGCGGAATGGCTCCCAAGTACAGGTGGTCGACGAGCTGGTGAGGCAGGATTTCAGATGCTTGTGCAAACACGACTGCCACATCTTGTAGAGATACGCAGAGCTTGGGCGCGGCGCGATTCATCGTTTACTTCTCGTTCGATCGCCGCGTGCAGCACAAGTGAGATCATCTCTCAGTAGGAGGACTGGTGGCATCACTTTGCCGGACGGACTTCAAGCACAGGTGCTGCATTCTCACACACCTGGCCGTCGTTAAGCCCGAGTGTAGAGAGACAAAGGAGCCTTTTCCAGCTTGTTTGGGGCTGTAGACCCTTGTGATTGCACAAAATTACATCGCAAGACCGACCGACTATGCTGTTCCTTGCAAGCGGCCTTCAAGGGTCCGTAAGCGTCCTGTTTTGTGAGACCCTTTTGAATCGCCGCGGGCAGAGCAAGCATTAAGCTCTGGCGGGTTGCCTGCGTGGTTGCTTGCTGTAGCAGACCTTGGATGTTAAGGAGTTGAAGAATGTTCCTTGTGTCAGGGTTGATTGCCAAAACCATGGGTTCAAGGGCCTGCAAGCATGAGACCACCTACATTGGGGAGTGGGGGACAGACCAGGTGGCGAAACCCCAGCGACATTGCGAAGCATAGGCGGGCATGCCATACAACGACTGAAGCGTTTGTGCGACATTACTGGCGCACATGTCAGGTATGCTTGCAGAGTACTGGAAAGAATCATCGAATTCTTTCCAATGCCTTCTACATATCCACTGATGCTGGAGCTTGGAGATGTGTAAATCCACAGTCTAGGAAGCTGTATGTAGCTGTGCTAGGCTGCTTTGCAGCTTGTACTGCTTGCGAGGACATCGTGCGTCACTGTGTCGAGCTGACACACCATGCGCGGGCCCCAGGCCTCAGGGGTTGACAGGCTCTGAGTGGTCCTCTTGCATTGCTGGCGCATAGCACCTTGGCCATCTTGGGCATATGGCATATGCATGTGCAGGCCATTGGGAACTACTCCGTCCAGCACTGCCTGGAGTACGGCAACAAGAGTTGCCGCGCGGAGATTGTTCCACTCTCAGCTGCCTAACGAGCCAATTTTTTTTTTGGATGGAAGCGGTGAAAAGCTGTTGTGTACCTTGGGGCCGGACTTTAGCCTTGGTCTTTCGAAGCGTTAAGCATCGCATGGCGGCCAAGACCAACGTGGTGCTGCACCACTTCCGAGAGTTTGCCTTGGACCCTAATGCGTGCGGGGTGGTCAACAAGGCCTTGCTGAGTAGCTCCCGGTGGCCTAAAGCTTGTCCACATGACCATGCGCTATGTGCAGGCTCTGATTCATGGTCCTCCTCAGCAGAGGATGATGCTGGCAATTCTGATTGCCAGCGATCTGCGCACATTTTTGGGAATGGCGCAGATGCAGAAGGGTCAGGGCCTCAGATGAGTAAAGGGCACGGCTTCGGTGGTTGACTGCGCTGTTCACTGAAGGGTTTGCTGCCACGCAGAGCCTCTTCCACGTGCTTTGGCGGCAACTTCCAGCAGAAATCCCTGCTTTGATCTGGTCAGCTGCCACATCTTGCCCGAGATTTGTCGAGAGAGGGTGCAGTGCCAGCAGGCCAGCTGAGGTATCTCGGGTGGACATCTCTTTCCACCTTTTCGTCCGGGAGTTCCTGGAGGCCAAGTGCCTAGAGATGGCAGATGTAGAAATGAGATGCTTTCCGGCTGCCAGAAGCACATGGACACCATCACGCGCACGAAGCACGGGCAAGCTTTGCTGCACTCGCTGCAGGGGCCCCAGTGCGGCTGAAGGTGAAGTCTCAAAATGTCACCTTGTTTATCCAAGGATGCCCGAGCTGAGCCACAAGTTCACGAACTGGTGGACAAGCCAGAGCCTTTTGGACAGGCATGTGGACATTTAACAGCTGGAGTCTTAAGTCAAGCATTTGTGTTAGATGAGAGTTGTGCGTGCTCCTTGGGTGTCTTTGTAACGTGCCTCGGAGTGTTGTGTAAGTAGGCTAGCGTGTACCCCAAGCTACTGTTGTACCTTGAACACTCGGGATGCGGGCTCCGCGCACTAGCAACATCGTGTCAATAAGGGCACGCCAAGTGCATTCCAGTGCCGTGTTGAGATTACCAAGCCAATCGAAAGGCAGATGGTTGTCTGCTTAGGCAAGCTTGATTCTTGATAGAAAGGCCTTGAGCGCAAAAGCGCGATTTTGTTTGGAATTCAGGACCTTTTGACGACCAGAGGGATTCCAGGGCTTGGGGTTTGGGCGCGCTGGTGTGCCCTGCGCAGCTGAGGCTACGATCATAACCACAAGGGCAACAAAAAGCAATGGCGCCAGAACTCAAACAAGGGCTATGGCGGCTATGGCGGAAATGGCGGCAATGGCGGCAATAGTGGCTATGGCTGGCGCAACCACCGCTACCAGCGTTGAATGGAAAAGCCACAAGATCACACGAGCGCTTTGTGCGGGCAGCTCAGCGAGTGTGGACTGTGAATCAAGCGGCTATGCAAATAGGTCTCGGAGCCCCGAGGTGAAAGAAGCTGCTGAGAAAGCGGCCTTGAATTCCTGCACAGATGGAGCTGCAAAGAATGGCTCGGATTCAGAAGGGGAGTCAACACTGCGACTCCAGCTCCTGAACAAAACTTGGATCACATGACCTCCAGCGCTATGCGCATCCGGAGATGTTCTCTCCCCTTTGCCCGAGCATCTGCTCCAGTTGTTTTATTTCACTTCTTGGCCGCAGCGCTTGCCTGTAAAGCTTTGCGGCAGCAGCCCCTTATGAGGCAATCCGCGCAGAAGTGCATTTTGGAGGGAGGTGTCTCGTTCCGCCATGCCTGAAGCACGATAGGGTTGAGCAATGTGGAGCCATTGTGCAGTCAAAGCTCATGGGGGTGATGCTGAATGTACAGAGCCAACATTTGGGCTACAAGTACTTTGTATATAGCTGCGAGGCCTGCCTGGCGCCCGCTTCCACAGCACTGTCGTGTATTAACTGCTGTATGTCCATATCCTGAGCGAAAAACTGTCGTATCTTGCAGTGCTTCTGCACCAGCGTGGCCTAGATCCTGGCCCTTGTTGTGGGTTGCGATGACGACGACTTTTAGTCGCACCCAATTTAGTTTTCGTTTCAAAGATCAAGTTCCGAACCCTGCGGACAAAAGGAGGGAGGCGCAAAGCATATTGGCAAGCTCATGGTAGCCGCAACAAGTCATTGTGGTTAGACCCACAGTTTGAGTGCTCTGCCAGTTGCTGCTCAGCTTTGGTGGAGCTACTCGGTTTGCCTCTGGCTCGGCCCTCTGGCATGCAAGATGACAGGTGCTAGTTTGAGACCAGGCGACAAGATGTTCGCATGGCATTCTATTCTTGAATGACAGCACGTTTTAGCTGCCATAAGACTACTGCTTAAACGGCTTGTAAATACAAAGTCTATCGGGCTCATTGAGCAGAAGCTAGAGACATGGCCTGCAGAACCCGTAGTGGCCATCCCATGATCCCATGACACGGCTCTCGGGCTCCAGCTGCGTCAGCAGCATCTGAAGACCAGGATGGGCGCTTCTGCATCTTTTGGGTCTGGCTGAGCCATATTGCCGGAGCGGGACAGGTGGCTTAGCATGAAGGCTCCGCTCGCAGGTGCACGTGGAAGCCTGAGGAGTCCTGCCACATGAGTTCTTTTGGATATCGTGTTATGGCACGTGTACTTTGTCGCAGAGGTACGCAGAGAACGCCTCGCGAGAAAGTCCCCTGGAACGAGCCGGAGCCAGAGGCAGGAGTTCATTTCATTAATGACTGGCAAGGCAAAGCCTTTGAGATTTCAGGGCGAGAGGGTTTACAGCCGCAAACGATTTGGAAATGCACAGAGTGCTTCTCCACGTCCGCAGCGCTGGGGCCCCGGATGGTCCTGGAGTCCAGAGCTTCCAGGCACTTGATGCTCATCTCATTCTAGGATTTCGCGCGGTTGACGCGGTGAAGCTTGCGAAGCATGAGCTTGAGTCGCAGACTGGGCCGGATCCTTGGGCTGCCCCCAACGAAATAGGCATATTTGGCATCAAAGCCGCCAGAGGCCTTTGGTGAAGGCGGGAAGGCTCCGGCTCTCCCAGTTCTCCACCTTGGAGGAGCTCGCGGCTTACAAGAGGGAAAGCAACATGTACTTGCAAATCAGGGGCATCAGAGGCCATTTTTGGGGTTTAGGCTCAGCCTCAAGCGGTGTCAAGCTGAAGGATGCCTCAGTCGGTAGGGTGCCATGTCTTTTGCCTGGTCCCCGCGGTCCCGGCCGCGGAGGACTGCTGAGTAAAAGCCAGGCTGTGTGCAGGGTACTAGGGGTTTCTCTCTCGCTCTGCAGGTGGTGCAGGTGCTGCCCCTGGAGACCCGTGGCTCGGGGTTTCGAGCGGGTTGCCGCTACTGTTTATGGATACCTGGATGATGATGATGACTCTGATTTCAGTGAGGATCCAAGAAGCAGCAAGCCCCAACAACGGACCTCGGAAGAGAAGAAGGATCAGGAATCGCGAGATTCGCGCAGCCGAACAGAGACCATGGACGAAATGTTCGAACAGTTCTTCGATGCTATCGACGACCTTTCGGATTCCGAGCTTGGGAACACTTGTGGTACAGGTTTAGGGCTTGTGATCCCAAAGCTGAGAAATGATAGTGAGATTGCTGCCCACTATAATGTGCCGCTGCAAGCAATCAATCAGCTGAAGGCTGGGCTGTCCATGCAACAGGGTATGTGAAGGAGAGCTAAGCTATAGTCCCCCTTAAGTAGATAGAATATGGCTTCGGGTATATTATATTAGGATCCCCATATACCCTATATGCTATCTACTTAAGGGGGACTATAAGCTGAGTTAGACTTTTGGGTGCTTTTGTCTATGTCAGGTCGACTTCCCCAGCTGCCCATCTGCTGAACTGGCAAGGTTCCTGGCGCGGAAAAGTGTTTCGGGAAATCCAGAGAAGGCTGCAAAGCTCATCAGCGCTTATCTGGACTGGCGCAAAGGCATACCAAAATGGCCTCCCCCTCCGCCTGACCTTCCCAACCCTTTTCGCTTCAATGGCTTTGCGCGGGACGGCTCACGCTTGCTGTTGCTACTTCCATGCTGCATTAATGTGGACTTCAAGCCGGAGGCCTATTGCCAGCAGTTGGTTCGGCATTTGGACGTGGAGGTCGAGCGCGCAGACACCTTGCGCTTCACAGTGCTCCTGGACTGTCGGCCACACAAGGCCCTCGGCTATGATGCAAAGCCTGTCTGGCGACTCTGGACGCACATCTCGGCCATGGCAAAAATGTTCCAGGCGAGTGCATGCGTGCACTTCTTGCTGTTCTTGTCCTTTTCTGTGGCTTCTTGGTCTTGCTGCTTGATCTTTGTGGCAGTCCTACTTCCCTGAGCGACTGCAGCGATTCGTGTCTTAGCTGTGTTTTTCAGGATTTGGCAGTGCCCAGCTCCTGCTGATTCTAAGGTGATCTATCCTGCTGGGGACATTGAGATGGGTGCCTTTCGGATGTTCAAAGGCCTTCTCTCCACTGAGACGTTGAAGCGCGCAGGATCCTCAGCCGTGTGTGCCTCAGCCCTGTGAGTGCAGGGGAGTCCAGTGTTGAGGTGAGACTGCTTTACAGCAAGCTTGGCTATGCGGCACCGGCTCCTCCCATAGAGCTGCTCGAGATCCTCGATGTCAGAGAGGTCCGTAGAGAGAACAAAGTTTTCTTCGAAGGCTTGGATGGCGAGTCCTGAGCTGATGTACAGTTTGGCACAGGCATATGAAGCTTCTTGTGCAGTCAAATTCTAGCACGTCCCTGCAGAGACAGTGCTATGAGGAGTGTCGGATCAATCTTGGCACTCGCCATGTTTCACCAGTGCCAGCTTCAGGGAACAGCAGTGAGCTGACCTCCACAGCAAGAAAACTTGTACTTGTAGAGCGAAGCTGCCAGCTTCATCCGGACCGGCACTGACAAGGTGACTGCTCCACGGCTGCCTGCATTGACAGTATTTGCGGTAGCTCCGTGATGAGGTGCAACACTGGTGACTTTGGTCCTGTGATCCACGAGGGCTTCTACAAGCTGACTGCAGCTGTAACAAGGCGAGTTGTTCAAGTGTAAACTTGTGGATGGTCGCATGAAGAGAGCCAGCCTGGAGAAAATCGAGGCCCGCCCCTTCACTTCGTCAGAAGGTCTGCCAATCTTGTGCTTTCTGCGCTTGAAACGCTTTTTCTTGGACCGGAGGCGGCGGCACTGCAGGAGAGCTTTGACAGCCGACTGCGTAAACTTCGTGAAGACAGCCGGCACCTTATCACTGGAGCATTTGTCAGTGTTGACTGTTTGCCTGCGTGAGCAGCCTCCCTGAAGCAAAGGACAGGGAGACAGGAATGGCCGCCACACAGGCTGCTGGTTCATGTTGGGAAATGGAAGTTGCCTGAGTGGGAGGCTTGTGATGCTAAACAGGAGCCACAGCAGAAGCGCCTGTCCCCGTGCAATCTCCCCACGCCAGCAAGCAGCTGGCTTTGGAGGGTCCAGGTAGGGACGCAAAGGTCCGCGACTTGTGTGGATCGTGTGCTGTGCGGTAGAGCTGCAGGCTCTGAACAGTCTACAGTGGGGGACACCTTTATCACTGCCAATGAGGTGCGGCAAGTGAGAGGTGGATTTGACAATTGAAGCAAGACAAATAAGAAGCGCTGCTTTTGGATGTCGCATTGCCAAAAGTTGTATGGTATGACAGGAGTCTCAGGCTTGTGATCTTGTGCCCGGCTCTGAACTTCAGCTAGTGTCAGGCTCTTGGTGAACAAAGCCAGTGTGGTGAACCGTTCGCAGGCTGTACGAGATCGGCAGCCAAGGTCAGTGCCGGAGACTGCTGATCGCGAACGACAGACGGACACAGATGACACAGCCACAGCTACCATGGAGGTGCACCTCATACATTCTCGGCAGTGGTGTGAGTATAAGTATAAAGTAGAAGTAGAAGTAGAAGTAGGAGTAGGAGTAGGAGTAAGAGGAGGAGGAGGAGTGGTGCAGAAGTAGAAGAAGAAGTCGAAGTAGGAGTAGGAGTAGGAGGAGGAGTAGTACTAGTAATAACAATATGCAACAATCGTACAATACATGTTTACGTTCACGAGCCCATGAAGCTTCGAGGCAGAGCTTGCAAAGCAGGAGTTGGCTTTGTGCGCATGGCCCTGAGTACAATGAGTGCAACATGATAAGTATAACACTTACCCTGGGTTGGATGGGAATGAAGGAATGGATCCTTATAGTAGTCCCTATATAACCCATTGCAGTAGTTTCCATTTTCTTCTCAATTTCTTCATTCCCAGCTAACCAATGGTAAGAACAAAGCAAGTGCACAGAACAAATGTTCTGAGGTCGAGACTCTGCAGAGCTACGCGTGCGAAACATCTTCAGAGTCACGAGAGCCACAGCCCCGGACACAGCGCTTTTGGTTTGTGCTGCCAATGCCTGCTGACTGGCAGGCGCCGTGTGCTGCTGGACGCGGCAACGTCAACAGCTTCAGAATCGCTGGAAAAGCTGATGCAGATCATTGAGAGGCCTTCATGCATAAACCGAGGCTTTGATCCCCGAAGTTGCAGTAGTCATGACGTCGTCTTCAATACTTGTAGCTGGAGACAAAGACAACTTCTTGCCGATCTTGGTCTAAAAAATGCAGGCAGGCGGTGGAAGCCAGGACGGCCACTGAGCAGCGGCGCAAATTGGAGGTTCCTGCCTGACGATGCTACCTTCCACCCTTAGATTTCTGGAGCAGTTTCTGCGTTTGCAAGGCCAGAATTGGGGAGCTGGAGGATGATGCTGAAGGCTTGAGGAAGATGGCTTGAAGCTTACCACTTGGCCTTGAGTCCCAATACAGAGCACAGGGAGGGTTGCCTGAGGTGCAGCGAGGACTGCGAGAAGAGGCGCCATGTCGGATTTGTCCAAGCTGCTTCCAGAGTTTCTTGGGGGCCCGGTGCCCCTTGGTGGTGGAGGGGTGATCATGTTAGGGACCCTGATACCATTTAGGGTATATTCCTTAATTAAGGGGTATTGGGTTCTGTGAGTCAGAGATCTGTACTTGTTAGGCAGAGTTGCAGAAGGAGAAGGAGGACAAGATCGCTGAGGTATGTGCGTATGGGCCCATAGGGTTTCAATTTTGCTTGACATGTAACTGCATGCAGGTCCTGGAAAAGCAGCAAAGTCTCCTCGAGGCTCGTTTCTGCCGACATTTTCCTTTCATCTTTCAGCTCATGGAGAGTTGCGGAGGCAGAGAGGAAGCAGGAGAAGCTGAATCTTGAATTGCAAGAGGCGCCCCTTTCGATCCGACTCGACACTGCTCTGCACCTCTTTTCACAGTGAAGAGTAGTGAGGCCTTGGAAAGGATCCGCAGGCGGGATGAAGCAGAGCAGCAAGCTCAAGAGAACCTGCGCCGTGATCCCAGTATCCTGCAGAAGAGCACGGTGCTTTCTGACAAGCCTTGCTGAGGAGATGGTGCCAATTCTCCGATGATGGCTTTTTCCACGTTTGTCCTCGGGCCGGATCAGGCCACTTGCCTCTAATGAGTTTAGTCTCTTGATCTCCCCATAATACTGTCCTTGCAGGTTCCTTCTGGCCCCGCTACAAGCCTTTCAAGCATAGGCCTGGGACTTGTGGTGGCCAGCGTCGTCTTAGAACGCACAGCGGGGCCGTCGCTGAGGTGGTGATTTTGTCAAGGATCGGGAAGCCAAGAGGCGCGATGTCATCTTAGAGCTATAGTCTAAACTCCTTTGAGGAGATTGTTTAGGGGATTAAATTTAACCAGGAGAGCATGATAGGGCTTGTTAAGGGGGATACAGGTAGTTTAGACTATAGCATGTATGGATGATTTTTTTAAATTGTTTTTTTAGACACGCCGAGATTTGGCCAGGCTGGAGCGGCATCAGACAAATTTGTTGCTGGCTCAGCATGCTTGCAGAGCATTTTCGGCAACCACGTCAGTTGTATATGTACATTCAGCTGCAGCTGATGCCGGCTTCGCGCTCGCGCAATGTGCTCATCGTTTCATCGCGGAATGTCGTCTCGGGGGTTTGTCATTCTTTTATAGATATCTTCTTATGTCGGCGGGCGACGGTAGCTTAATATCATTTCACATAGATTCGGGTTAAACTACATATCTGGGGTTCTCTGGTTCTTTAATTTAATCTCGATTATTCTATAATCCTTTTAATTTATTCCAAATTAAATGATATCAGATCTGAAATCCTAAGCCGCAATAATCCCCCTCCGCAGACCTGCTTCCTTCTCATAATCCAATTCCCAATCAGAATCGGAATGATAATCAACCAATGAAAATACTAGTGAGTCAAGCTCTCTATATTTCGGTCCGTCATTCTAAATGATCTATCAAGCTATCATATACTTTTTCAATCAACCTATCGATTCAATAATTTGATTGAACACTTTCTATAGACACGAACGATTTTTACGATCTAACATATTATCTATCTGAATTTCTATGGATATATTATTTTAGAAGATACCTTATAGAATCTTCCGATTTAATATGACAAGCCAATATCTAACTTTACTTGCTCCTGAGAGGAGTGGTGCCAGCTCGACGACGCGAACCTCGCTCCTGTTGGCTACAGGCTCCACAGGCAGTGCACACTGGGAAGCAGGTATCGCGCACACCACCATTTGCATCTCCAGGATTGCATGTCCCACCAGCCAGCGGACAGCAAAGCGGACGGCAAACTGGACGCCTGGACACCGTGCCTGCCACCCAGGAAGGTCCTCGCAGTGCAGGTCAGATCAGGTTGAAGGGGATGCGCTCGGGGCATGTGCAAAACCTAACACTGGAGGCGGTTCGCACATACTCATGGAGTGCTTATCGGCCAGATACGGCAACAAATCACTTGGTTGCACGAGGCCTTCGCAAAACCTGTCCAGGCCTGATCGGCATGCTGCTGTTTTTCTTTCTCTCAGCTTGAAGAAGCTTTGCTAGAAGCACTGGCCACTGTCTGCAGCCATGAAGTCTCGAATTATTGGCCGTTATGATGAAGTGCTTTGTCTGCGGCTGTGATGAGGTCAAGTACCGGTTTCCATGCTGCCGAGAACGATACTGCTCCCTTCCGTGCTATCGGGTGCATGCTGCCGGACAGTGCCCTGCGCGTCCGGAGTTCGATGCTCCAAAGCGGCCGCGAAAGGAAGAGGAGCAGGAGGACTTGATCTCTGAAGTTCGGCTGTGTGCGCTGCGAGGTCACACGGGAGTGCGTGCCGCACTTCAGAGTGAAGCATTCCAGGATGCCTTACTGGCACTGAATGATGCTCACGACCGGCGTCAAGCTCTGGAGCGTCTCTTGGAGAAGGACAAGTACTTCGCCAAGTTTGCTGAAGATCTAATGGAGGCCATCGATTATTTCCCTCGAGGGGACTTTGCCATGCAGACCAAACGTTGAAGAAGGCAAGGGTGAGTCAGTCCCCCTCCATGGCTGCAAGCTCCGACGTGAGAGCCGAGGATGTTACGTTGAGGAGGAGGAGGAGCATAGAAATTACCTTTCTGCTTCGCCCGTTGCTGCTGTCTGTACTATGAAGGCTTGACCTGCTGCGTGCGCTTTGCCCAGGTAGTCAGCTGCATTGAGCGCTGAGATATAAAAACAGCGCGGTGCTCACGTTTCCCTTTTCCCATGCTGCGCTGGCTAAACTTGGCTGCTTGAGCTTTCTTCGCAAGTTATGTTCACTTTGCTGCGCCAGGAGTGCGTCACCTGATGTGCCAACACA